TTAGCTTTTATGTTTCTAGTTATTGTGTATTGTTTCTGTATTCAGCGCAGATGAACATCTTGTGCTAATCTGACCTTTATAAATGTAATTTATTATTATATATAAGTTGGATGAATTGAATGAGTTACCATCGAAGGTATCTCTTAGCCTGCTTCTTTCCAAAATTTATCAGTTCCAGTACAAATCTATTGTAGTACTTTAAAATCTAGCTAATAAACGAGATACCCCTCCTCTGAATGCTACTGTGTATTATTTTCTTGATACATTAATATATATTTTGTATGCGGTTCACTGCAGTGTGATTAGAATACAATGAAACTTGTTCACGTTCACTCGATACCCTCTCGCTCAATCAGAGTACGAGAAAGATGGACTTTGATAGTTGGTACATAACATTGCAAAATCTTTGACGTCAGAGGGTAACAGTTTACTGCTACACGCCAATGGTTATCGGTGATCTCGTTGCAAGTGAACAGCACGTGATAGAAGGTGGCGTGACGATATGCATGACGTCAGTGATTGCTAAAAGCTTTGCTATTTGTACCAGTCCCTTTCAAAGCGAGTATAAATACGAGTGCCCCCGACAAGAAGCTCATTGAACTTTAAAACAATTTTAAAATATTTTTTCAAGTATTAGAATGTTTTTTTAGTTTTCTAAATAAATATCAGTATTATACTTTGAAGCTTGTATGTCTCATTGTTTTTACCAGAGCATTTATCTTCTTATTTTCTTCGCGGTAGAAATACGGTTCATATAAAAACATAAGACTCTTCATATGGATAACCAAACATAGTAAAAGTAAGCTTAAGATTATATTTTTTTGCTCAGCTTTTTTAACCAGTTTTCAAGTCTGTCTTAGTATTATGGTGTTGATTTGTCCTTCAAAAGATCAGAAATTTCCAAAATTTGGATTTCAATGAAAGACATTCAAGGCTAATTTCATAAACCTGATATCTTATTAGATTAGCTGAAGTTATCTTTCGTTTTTCAAGTAAAATTAACCAGGAATTCGAAGCGTAAAAATGTCAGCCAGGCGAAACTTTGTCTAATAATTTTTCATAAAAACTAGTCAGCCCTAGGGAGGCTGGTGGTGGGTTGCTACTGCACTGCTACACTGCTACACCGCTACACTGCCACACTGCCACACTGCCACACTGCCACACTGCCACACTGCCACGAAAAAGGCAGCTAAAAGTGCTGTTGCTACTCCTCACTTTTTGGTAGCAAAATAGAAGACCTTTTGTGAGTTGTATT